CTCACAAGTTCTGAAGACTCCAGCAGCAGTGTGAAGTCATGAAGAGGGGTGACAAGACCGATCCATGGTGTCCCTTACTGCAGGCACTGGCAAGGGGCATGATGGTAAGGTCAGAGAAGAACAAAAGGGCTTTGGATGCTTTAGAAAAATGGGGAATGGCAGGGGAGTGGTAGGCAATGTTGTTTTGCTAGTATATGAGCTTTAACCTCCTTAGCGGCATTCCCGAGTGTAGCTCGGGGTAAAATTTCAATACCAAGAGCGGTAACCCCGAGCTACACTCGGGCTTACCATGTGGAGTTGCTCAGGGGGTCCCTGCAGCACTTACCTTGTCCTTCGCTCCTGCGATGTGTCCCCTGCAGCGTCCCCGGCCATCCTCTGGCCGATGCCGGCATCCGGCTTCTGTGTTCCGGTCCCTGTGACGTCGGGACGTACGGGCGCCGGAACCGGCGGGAAATTTGAAATTTTTTAAAAATGTAATTTTTGCTGTCATTGCTGTTTCAATGCATTTCACATATATTTTGTCCCTACTGCTTTGTCCTGTGCCCTGCCTGCATTTTCACTGTTCTTTCTGCCTGGAAACTTAGAAAAGTCCATGGCGTCCAAAAAGCGTCCCTTTACGTCAAAAGCGGTTTTAGAACAGCGATAGTAAATCAGAACCACTTGCAGAATTGAGTGATGATTTGTGGTGAAATTCGTCATCAGACACTGAAAACGATTTTGCCTCTGTATTTCAAATTTCAGTGTTTTTGGTTTGATTATATTATTGAATCAAATTTATTATTATATTATTATTTTTTTTATGATTATTAAATTATAATTTATGATTTTGTGTTTCAAGTTTTATCATATCCGGAATGTTTACTAGACTCTTGTTTGTACAGATTTCAGTGAGTTATTCCTAAAAATTACAGCCTACAATAAAAAAACTACATATTTCCATGCAAAAAAATGGTACCGCTTTCAGCACAAAAAAATCGGAAAGAATCATACCGCTAGGGAGGTTAAGTAATACTTGCCATGAAAGAATTATGGAGACCGACACTGCTGACATATGATGGCCTGTTACTTGGATTCTTTGGCAGTATACATTATATATCATGTGCTCTACAACTTTTCATCTGCTTTCTGCATCCTCAGGGCAGATTCACATCACTGGAGCCTGTAGGCAAAAGCAGCTCCCCTCTATTATGATCACCTCTTTTACAAGAACATATTCAATTATTTGTGCTAACCCGTCTGGCATAGAATATTGTGCTAATGCATAAATAAGCTTTAATAAGGGGACTTATTTTTTACTGATGAATAAAAGGTTTAACCAATAAACATAAATGTGGTCTATTGCAGATGACCAGTCCTTAGATGAGGTGTTTGCATTAGTATTAATGCAATATTTATTTTTTTTCCACTATTATTTCACCTGGCGCTCCTGCCAGTAACACTTCCTCTTTTAGGTCCCTTTTACAAGTAGGATCCGATCAGGTCTGCCTGTCAGTTTTTCCAGTGGATCTGATCGGACCCTCCATTCACCCCTATGGACCGACAGGTGTAAACGCACTTGTGTCTGATTACAACTGCCTACCTTCAATCCAATAAAAAAAAAAAAAAAAAAAAAAACAGGACGGGGATACGTCCCCCTCTATCTAGGTGCATCAGAGGTAGCCGGGTGTAAATGGAGCATAGCGGACTTTTTGTCCACTCTGCAGAAACTGAACAGACACGTCATCCACCTACTCTGATCAGCAGGAGATCAGTGAACAGATTCCCCTGCGGATCAAATCAGAGTCCTTCCCATGTGAAAGGGGCAAGTAACAATGCTCACTCACTGTACTGTATCTAAGGAGGACAAGTATTCTCACTCTAGAATAGGACTACAGAACACCTATTCTTCTCCTCCATAAAGGAGTTCTATAGTTCTAACACTCCCAGAATATGTGTGGTAAGATTGAAGAATTCACAGAACAGCATTGGATCTCTAGCTTTGTTTTTTTTCCCTATTTGAGGAATTTACCAATTCCCAATCTGTTCTTCATTTTCTGTTCTCATGACAGTGCCGAACTCCCTCTAGAAATACAAATGGTTAGTGGGTAAGGTGCCTTTACACTAGTAGTTGGAGTGAGAAGGTCCCTTTAAACTAGCGGTCAATGGCAGGGGTGCCTCTCAAACTGTGGTTCAGTGGAAGAATGTCCCATTACATTGGGAGTCAGTAGTAGGAATACCCCTAACTTTGGTGATCAGATGGAAGAATGAGCCTTTTAAGTCAACTAAAAAAGATCAATAGTTGTTTCTGATCTGAGAGACTAGACAGGAGGCTCCACCAGGCCCATGCAGCTGAGTGATGGCCTTGTTACTTTGCAGAAACCACCATGTGGTAATCAACCTACCGGTGTTTAACCCCTTTACAACCACCCAACACATACGTGCAGCGGCAATGGTTGGACTTTAATGCACTGTGCTGAGCGTGTGCTCACTGCACCTCTTAGCACAAAGACCAAGCTGTCGCAAACGGCTCACTGTCTGGGCTTCAGGTCGGTAGCCACCAGGACCAGCTTCTAATCATGTGACCACTGTCACAGGATCTCAAATCCTTCCTGCCCTCCAGGCATTCCAAACTGTTTAAAGGGACGGTGAGGCAGATGAGAAGGGGTTAGAGAACCCCCGACATCCCTTGGACAAACCCTAGTGTTCCACAGAACCATACTTCATAAGGACTGCTCTAGGCCAAACATGTACTGGGCCACAGCCTTACCAAGAAATGTTTGTCGAAATTAAAAAAAACGAGGAAATCTGCATTTGTAACATTTATTTTAGGAAATACATTTTAAAACACATCTTTATTATTTATACAAAAAGGACTAGTTTGTCATAATGCATATAAATCAAATAAAAGGCCACTTTAGGAAACCTGGGAATTTAAGCCCGAAAAAAAAAAAAAAAAAAAAAAAAAAAAAAAAATAAAACAAAAAAAAAAAAAAAAATAAACAAGCATTACAAAAATGAAAACACATTAACGTTTCCTCTTAACAAAAGGACATTACAATAACATCACAGACAGGTTGGCAACTTTTCAAGTGCATGGAGCTTCCTGTCTCTTCATACCTTAATCCTTAGCATGTGAAATATATATAAATCTTTTGGATGATATAGTTTTTTTTTATTTGCTAAAACATAGCAACTCGACAAGTAAATGATTTTTTTTTTTTTATTATTATTATTTTTACATTTTAATGGAGCGCAGCTTAGCAAGTGGAAGGATTTTTAGAGAAGGGTAAATCAGAGATTAATAATAGGACACTTTACAAATGAAAGGACGACAGGTATACTTAGAAAAAAAAATAAGATAAATACACAGACACGCTTAACTCTTCCTGCCTGGAAGGGAGCACATTAGTTTTCCACCCACGGAGTCAAATATATAAACTAGTTGTTTGTAGTACTGAAGAAATTGTGAACATTGATGAAATTTGATTTAAAGCGTATGTCTGGGCAGTACATATCTGTAATAAATGACCATTTCTCCATGTTTTGTCCCTTTAAAAAAATGTTGCATGTAAATAAAAATCTGTTGCTCTGCCAAAAAATCTAGTGAGCCCCTAACTTCCTATAGTAAACTACGAGAGGGATTTACGGTGCACACTGGTACATAGTAACCAATCAGCTTCCAGGTTTTATTGTCAAAGCTTAATTAAACAAGCTGAAGTTAGAAACTGATTGGTTACCATGCACAGCTGCACCAGATTCTGTGTGCTCCAGTTTTAGTAGATCTCCCCCTATGTCTCTGCTACGCTGAGATCCCACAGCCCTGGCCCTCTTTGGTTGGACTACTAAACAGCTCCCCCTTTCTATCTCCATATTATAAAGGAGAGGTGTTCTGTAGCTTAAGAGGAGAAGACAGAGAAGGGCAACAACACTGATTAGAAATGCATCAGATGCAGCGTTGTCGGCTTGCCACAGAAAGTAAGAAGCTTACTGGATTTCTTCAGAATCAACAGGTACTGTACTATAGAAACAAAATACAGAGAAAAGTGCATGTATTGCAGAGATGTACTGCATATATTTTTTTAAATTCTCCCTGACAGACACTTTAAAACTACAATGTCATGATGTGTGATAAATTACAAAATAGTGGCAATAAGAAGAGGGTGTTTGAAAAATATTGGAGGGATCAGAAGAGTAGAAAAAAAAAAAAAAAACGGAGATAAATAACGAAAGGTCAAAATATTTCATCATAAAGAAAACCTGTTCTAATAAGAAGCAGAGGGCAGTTCAACAGTTTGATGAAAGATGAAAAACTGCAAGGAATGCGATCAAACCAAAAGGGTAAAGGAAACAACTGATTGATAAGATTCTCTGATAATCTCAAAAACAAAGCATTTTTTCTTAAAAAAAAAAAAAAGAAAAAAAAAAGGATAATAAAACTTCCTTTATCCACTTACAATCTCATTCGTTTTCCATCTTCTTTCACAGGAGTAATAAATACCAATTCAGCCCACAATCCATAGATCAAATGCACTTTAACATTCACATTCTTTAATTTGACTTTCGGCACTTAAGAATGAAACAAATTTGACTATATGACATTCTTGCTAGGAATACTTTGCTTTGAGCTCCACAATGATGGAGCCAACTGCAGAAAGGTTTCAGAAAATGAGAGAGCCAGCTGTACTTACAATGAGCTATATCTCTATACAGTTCACCGTAGCATTGAAAAAGGTACTGCAGAATGTAACAAGGCAGTAACGTGGCTCACGTTAGTAGGAGATAAAAAGTAAATGCAGATGTTTACTGCCCCCCTCTTAGTCTAATGACTGCCATGATGCCTTCTCCCTTTTATGGCACAAACTTGCAGATCAAGGCCCAGTCAGACCTGGAGACCCTGAAAATTAATGGGCTAACCTTCCTGTACTTCCTCCCCATTATTCCTCCCGCACAATGTCACAGGAGCTGAACACACAGAAACTGAAGGACAGGATGATCATGATGGAGGGTGTAGGATCCCAGGATTAAACCTCGTTGGAAGAGTAGTCTTTTTCCGATGTGCCGTTGGAAAGCATGTTTCCTTCTTGAAGCCTTTTGACGCGGTATGCTTCAAAGTGAATACTGCTTGTTATGTCTTTGATGTTCTGCATGTGCGTCCTGCATGAAAAAACAGACAATGGAATTTATTATAGCAAGGCTAACTCATATAAATGTGACCTTATTTCAAAATGATGTCAATCCTGAACTCGATAAAAGATTTAGAAAAAAAAAAAAAAAAAACCCACAAAACTTTTTTTCCTTAAAATTGTTTACAGAAATGTAACTTTACAATTACAGTTTTAAACAAATGCAGACTGACATCTTCAGGCTGCAGTGGTATCTAAAGGCCTAAACCTTTTTTTTGTGAATTAAAGTGATTGAAAACCCTCACCTTCTAAAACAAGTTCAACTTAAAATTGCAATGAAAGGCAACTTCAGCTTCCGATCTCCATAGGCAATTGCAGCTGAAGTAGGAGCGGGTACCTGTCAAATTCGGGTACCCCCCCTCCCAAAGGTGCCAATCCTTACTGGGGAGCAGGGGACAAAGGCTTAAAGCGGAACTTCCCCTTATGGGTGGATCTCCGCTTTAAAAAGTAGTTAAGATCTCGCTGTTAAAATTGAGTAGTCCCATAGACACGACAGGAAAAGCAAATCTTTTTGCAGTTGTCACCACAAAAAATTATTTTCTGTTTTTGACCCCTTACAGTGGCAGTGGTCATCAAGCCACCCTGAGAGTGCAAATCTCCCCAACAGGTACTAAGACAGCAATAAAACCCAACAGAGGTTCTAACTCTTCCCTGCTTTATCCAAAACTTAAAAAGTTTTGACACAGATTTAGAAGAAGCCCCCTGTCTGTGACACAGGGATTAAACAAATCCCCCTATACAAGTTGTACATCTGATCAAATTCCAGAGTTTATATAGCTTATCTGAGCTTTCAGAAAACAGGGTGCAGAGAGCTGAAGTTAGACTTTGCAGAGCTGATTGAAGGGAGGAGACACCCCCACACCCACAGCACATGGGAAGAGAGCTACGGCTGTGCTGGAGGTCTCTCCCCTGACACCATTTTACTCTTGGTTTCAGGAAAACTTGTCAGAAGTCACTCATGCTGATAACAGAGAAACCAAGCAGCAGACAGAAATGACACTTAGTGCTCTAAATTGAGAAAGCACATACTATAGAGGGATATGCTTTGCTTATATTTCATGTCTGAGGTTTACAACCACTTTAAAAATGTAAATACTGGTACATTTACCCCCTTCCTGCCCAGGCCAATTTTCAGTGTTGTTGCACTCTGAATGACAATTGCGCAGTCATACAACACTGTACCCATAAAAAAATGTTAGCATTTTTTTCACACAAATAGAGCTTTCTTTTGGTGATATTTAATCACCACTGAACATTTGTATTTTTTGCTAAATAAACAAAAAGGAAGTCCAAATCTTTACCAAGTAATTATAGACCTGTTAGTTTAACTTCTATAGCTGGGAAAGTATTGGAGAGTTTAATAAAAGACCACATAGATGAGTTCTTGCTGGAAAAAAAATATTTGAAGTAACAGACAGCATGGATTCATGAAAGACAGAAGTTGTCAAACAAATCTGATTTCTTTTTATGAGGAGGTGAGCAAAACCTTGGACAGAGGGGTGGCGGTGGACGTGGTATACTTGGACAGAGGGGTGGCGGTGGATGTGGTATACTTGGACAGAGGGGTGGCGGTGGATGTGGTATACTTGGACAGAGGGGTGGCGGTGGACGTGGTATACTTGGATTTTGCTAAAGCATTTGACACAGTTCCCCACACATGGCTAATGTGTAAGGTAAAGTCTACAGGCTTGGAAAAAAATCCGTATGTAAATGCATAGAAAACTGGCTAAAAGATCGTATCCAGAGAGTAGTGGTTAATGATTCATATTCTGAATGGTCTAGGGTTGTCAGTGGTGTACCCCAAGGTTCAGTGTTGGGACCCTTACTTTTTAATATATTTATAAACAATATAGGGTCTGGGATTAAAAATCCCATTTCAGTCTTTGCAGATGACACCAAGCTGTGCAGTAGAATAACGTCCTTACAGGGTGTCTCCAACTTACAAGCCGACCTCAATGCTCTGTGTAATTGGGCAACTATGAGGCAAATGAGGTTTACTGTTGATAAATGTAAGGTTATGCACTTGAGGGCTAAGAATATGCATGCATCATACATACTAGGGGGGTACAACTGGGGGAATCAATGGTGGAGAAGAATCTGGGAGTTCTGGTAGATCACAAGCTTAATAATGGCATGCAATGCCAAGCTGCGGTTTCTAAAGCGAGCAAAATCCTCTCTTGTATTAAAAGAGGTATAGACCCATCAATCAATGATGTCACATGGGGTGGGGTCACTCAGGTGATGTCCCCGGGTGGCCCCACCCCTTACCTATTTAAGAACTGTCCAACCACCAGAGCAGACAGATGGCGGGAGCCATCATCGTAAGTGGAGCCTTTTTTTTTTCCCTTTTTTTTTTTTCGGGGAGGTGGCTGAAATCGTGATTGACGTTGGATCTACTGCGGGGGACATTCTTTTAGTTTTATCTCTTAATAAAGGACTTGTCAAAGACTGTGTCCTGTCTTTTTTCACACTACACTTTTTTTTTTGTGAATGAGTATCGGGACCATGTACCCCATACTCATTCACATGGGGGGGGCGGTATCTGGAGGCCCCCTTGTGAAAGAGGGCTTCCAGATTCTGGTAAGCCCCCTGCCCGCAGACCCCCACAACCACCGGCCAGGGTTGTAGGAAAGAGGCCCTTGTCCCCATCAACATGGGGACAAGGTGCTTTGGGGGGGAGCCCCCCCTGCCCCAAAGCATCCCCCCATGTTGAGGTCATGTGGCCTGGTATGGTTCAGGAGGAAGGGCGGGGGGGCATTCACTCCCCCCCCCCCTTTCCTGACTTACCGGGCTGCATGCTCGGATAAGGGTCTGGTATGGATTTTGGGGGGGACCCCTACGCCATTTTTTTTTTTTTCAATTGTGGCATGGGAGTTCCCTTCAAAAAACAAACCAGACGCGAAAGGGCTTGGTATAGATGGGAGGGGGAACTCCACGTTGCTTATTTATTTTTTTTAATTGCCGGCAAGTCTTTTACATTCAGCTGTCAGTGGCGAACCCCGCTGACAGCTAAAACATTAACACATGGTTGTCACTACTAAAATACCACATGACTTGATAAAATAACTCATGCAGCATTTTAGTAGCGTTTACTTTTTTTTGACCTCAGGAATGGATTAATTGGTTTTCAATGCATTCCTATGGGAAACGGTGTTTGGTTTATGAATTTTTCATTATACGTAAAGTCCCGCAAAACGAATTCAATTCGTAAACCGAGGTATGCCTGTACTGGCTGAAGATTGACAGAGGAATCTCAAAATGAAGACAGAATCGCTCAGTAACTCTGGTTGTAGCTAGATGTTGGAAAAACATGCTAAATAGACATAAAGAGAAAAATTTGCTTGTAGTTTCCTTCTAAAAAAAAAAATTGGCAGTCCAAACCCATAAATATTTACCTTTGATTGGACCAGGAATTTAAAATTATGGGGCAGGAGTTTTGTGTTTAGAAGTAGCTGGAACACCCAACAAGGATGGTGGGAACAGACTGAGGAACGATGACCCAAAAGTTATAAGTCAGTAAATGATGCAGCCCAGTAGACCCCACCGGTAACGAGTATGAGTTTATGGTGGATATGTAGTGCTCTCATACAACATTTTTGTTGGACCAGTGACACGTTTGCCTGCTTGAGACTAGTAATTTCTCAGAACAAAAAGGCCCACAAGCCACACATGCGACCAAGATAATGCAATGCAGAAGAGAGAAGTATGTGTGACATTTTCACAGGGAGGAAGGAAGTAGCTGGTGTAAGGCCACAAGCTGTCGGTTACATGAAAGATCACTCTTACTGCAACAGAGGATGTACAAATGCAAAGGAGAGACAATAATACTGACACGGCATCACCCCTTCACTTAGTAAAATACTCATATGAAAGGCATAATGCTGTATAAAAAAAATCATCCTATACTGTAAAATTCTGGTGGTATTTCCTTTATTAGGCTCATGAAACATGGGCGCCTCTAGATATAATGCAATACATGATGAACTGCAGTAACACATTGCTTGTTGACTCACCTTATCAGAAGATCTCGCAAGTGAGCGAATTCACAATGACCAATGTTTTCCACTGCAAGAATAAAACAAAAGAAACTATAACCATTTCAACTCCTATAGAAGGTCAAGTAAAATCAGAGGAGTCAGTGCTCATTTCACCAGCTCATTAAATCCACCTATAAAATGCTGTATAGGGAAATGATTGACTTAAAGCTGAAACTCTACACACATAAAAAGGCACAATATATTGCAGCTTTGTAATCATTAATACAATGTATTAATTGGACTTTATGTCAGCCTCTTGTGGTCTACTCTACATTCTGTACAGCAGAGCTCAGAGAGGGGGGAAGGAAAAGCAGCAAAAGGACCCAGCCATAAATATTGCAGTGCAGTGCTTTGCTGATAGAAAGTGAGAGCAGAGCGACAGAGCAATAAACTCTCCAGTGTGCTGTTTTTCCTTCACTGTCCGGTTACAGAGTGGGGAGGGGACCTGTAAGCGAAAGTGAAACTGCACAAGAAAGCTCAGGTCCCCTGCCCTGCCAGATAGTGCTGTGTTGTGTGGCAGACCTGTGCTGCTGCCTAATGTGTATTTAATCTGTGCATTTAATGGTTTCCCTGAAGTTCAAGTTTTAAGCAACACTTGTGTAAATTGGCCAGTATAGGGAATCATACATTTGAAGATTAAAAGTAAACATTGCTCCCTAACATTTTTGTGCTGGAAAATCACTAACAGGCAGGTAATCAGACAAGTAAGATTGGGTTTGGGCCAAAAAATAAGGCTGATCAGATTTTAGAATGGTCCTTGTAAAGGATATTGTCCAGATCTCAGTCTACTAGCCAGCAGAAAGGACCAATTTGTGTCTCAGTAGCCCACATCTGCAAATATAATCTAAAGCCAGAAGCTAAAAGAAAGGGAACTCTGTATTGTGTGGTCCTTCCCTGATCAATGGAAGCACCAACACTGGAACATGTATATGGCAATAATTAAAACAAATCTGTGCCCTGTTCATGCAGGGCAAAACAACAGTTTTGCTTTACTGTACTCTCCCTAGCTGAACATGCATACTTTTCCTTTACCCTGTGTGATGGACCGACTGGCACCCCGCCTGGGCGCTTCCGTCAGAGAGCTGCTTCCTTGCCCCTGGGACACAGGACTAAACGGTATTATAGCTGGGCATTGCACCCAAGGATTTGACGACACTAGCTTAGGTGGAACTGTTTATTGAACAAAAATACAGTTTTTTTTACACTTGAGAAATGAGGGCAATCCCCACAAGAACAATAAAACAAATACTCATTGGGATAAACATCCCACACTGATTGGATATCGAAGTAAGGTTGACAGAAGCCTAACCCCATCATGTAGGAACCTCCAGGAGGACTAGCCAACAGACAGAAACAATTAGGTGACTCAATTAACAGTGGAACAAAGACACAAACCAGTAAACACAACACCTTAATAAACAGATTACATTAAGAGATTTCAGCATCAGGTTGTTTTGAGCTGATTATATTAACATCTGTGATGAGTAGAGGAGGGGTGGGGTTTGATACAGTCAGTGCTGGTTTGGGCATAGAGGCCCCAAATATGTGTCTGGGTCATCCAGTTCTCAAACTCAGTGTGTTTGGGGAGACATGTACTTGAATCCAGAGTTAAACTACTCCAAAAATCCTGCCAGGCACACACCTCCCAAAGAAAACAGCCCACTCAGATACCAGGGCACACAGTCAGTAGGCAAGAGGCTAGCCTGCAGTCCCCTCCAAAAGTCCCTGTCCCGGCTGGGTCTGTCACACCCAGCTGCAGAAAAAAACAAAGCAAAACTGTACTTCACACTACTTCCAAGTGAATGGCCTGTCCCTATGCAACATGCAGAATCGTGTGACACTTGAGCTTTGAAAGTCACTCATTCACCACACTGCCCCGAACTACATCACTGACCTAATATCCAAGTACCGCCCAGCACGCACACTCCGCTCCTCACAAGACCTCCTCCTCTCTAGTTCCCTGGTCTCCTCCTCCCATGCCCGCCTCCAGGACTTCTCCAGGGTGTCACCTATCCTCTGGAACTCCCTGCCCCAACCCATCAGATTATCACCTACTCTCCTCTCCTTTAGGCGCACCCTGAAAACCCATCTCTTCAGGGAAGCCTACCCCACCCCCTGCTAACTTGACCGACCTCCTCCACTCTTCCTACCACTCCATCCCCCACAGCTATCTCCTCCTGTACCACCATCCCCTCCCTCCTAGATTGTAAGCTTGAAAGAGCAGGGCCCTCATCCCCTCATGTTTTGCATTGTATTGGTATTGTTCTGTCACATGTTCTGTCCCCCTTTGTAATGTACAGCGCTGAGCAAACCATTGGCGCTTTATAAATACTGTATAATAATAATAATACTTCCATGTATGGAGAACCATGTGACTTACGTCTTTTTCTCTCATTGGACAGTTTCAGCAATTGGCCCACAGCTGTCATATTGGATGGAGAGATTCGCCTCAGTCCTGTGTACAGTGTCTCTAATCTTATATGATTCTTTCCTTGTCTCATTGCTGCCAGCTGAACAGAGCAGTAGGGGAGTGAAGGAAAAGTGCTGGGAAAGGAGGCTTTAAGGCGAGTCTGTTGCTCTGCCCTGACTAGGCACGGCATAACATTGCTTTAAACCCTTTCCAGACAGTCCTTTAAGGCCCCGTTCACATCTTGCAATTGGAATTGTGAGCAGAATTGCAGCAATTCTGCCCACAATTCTAAATCGCTGCACAACGTATGACGTGTGTTTGGGTGTCACTGTCCTTAAGGCACCGCAAGCATGGTGCAATTCTGCTGCGATTGTTGCACAACAGGATCGCTTGGCAAACAGTACCTTTGAAAACCCTGTGAAGCTACTCCCCCGTAAAGGAGCAGAAGCTTCTTTTCAAACGCACATGTGAATGGCCTGCCCTTTGCAACATGCAGAATCGTGTGACCATCGAGCTTTGAAAGTCGTTCATTCCCAACATGCAATTAAGTGAACGGGGCTTGTCTGTAAAGTCCTAGGTGTTACATGGGCTTCCAGATCATGTGATCACTATTACTGGCTGTCAGTGATTGCCGCCCCCAGCTACTGATCGTAAACCGTGACCAAGAACTGTTGGTGACAGTGTGGTCACTGTGCTGGGGGCACCAAGGGAAAGCACTCTAGGCACAAACATGGGACGCCAGCCATACACTAACTTGCGGTATCCCGGTGTTAAAGCCCACCGCTGTGCTGCCGATATTAAAGGGGTCAAGCCTATAATTTAATATAAACAATCATTTTCATTAGTGGTCAGCAGATGGCAGGCATTAGCCAAGGCTGAATTGTAACAAGATGCATGCAATAAATCTTTAAGTCACAATTACTTTCAGGGGATCTGCAAACAAAGCAAGTATCCTAACAGAACTTAATGTGGGGTTGGCATGGACTTTTTCCCCCCAAAATTTTTTAGTTTGATTCTTATCCATCACAGTTATCCAGACTAATCCCTTTGATTGTACACCGTATATAAAAAGGGAATGCTTTGCATTGTTTAACAAAGAGTTAAAATCTCCTCGGCGTTGGACACGCCACTTGTCTGAAGCCAAAGAACAACGTGAGCCTGTGGAGTGGAAAGAGGGGGTGGTGGGAGGAGAGGGGTGCGCGAGTAACCTCGATCTGAATTAAAAGTACAGACGTGGCAGGAGATGCTAGCCACAGATCATGTGCTGGCCTGGTCCAAGAGTTTGCTGGATATACAACAGCCAGTGAGAAAAGCCCTGCTATACGTCTAGGGGACGGAAAAGGTGCTGAGATAGACTCAAATGAAAAAGAAATAGAAAATCAAATAAATCTGATCTAAGCAGAACCAGGCATTGCTACGTCAGTCGCAAAACCCCAAAGCACTAGGCTTTATTACTGAAAAGATATCAAAGGGGGCCCCAACCCACAGCAACTGATCACAGATCTTTCAAAGAAATCCTGAAAATGCTTGTTGCTTGGCATTCCTGATCAAATGACATACTTTCTGAGCCACTAAGTAAGCCTGAAAACAAGTCAGAATGGAGTCAAAACTCTCTATCTGCATACTTGTTCCAGGTCAGTGAGCCAAAAACTACTGAAGTCAGTGGATTAGCAGGGGAGGTAGCAAGCAGCATTTTCAGAAGAAATCAGCAAAAGGTAGCTTACAGATTTCCCCTATATACTTCACTCAGGACAGGTTTCCTTTAATTGTCAAACTACACAAAAGCACATTCTGATTGGCTGCAACTGGTTATGCCATATTGTTACTCTATAGTTTTTATTACACTTCCTGATACTATACATATGGGCAAAGCTCTCCCCCAGGTTAGATGTGGCAGTTCCACTATGTCATCCTCAAGATGTTCCATTTAAAAACATACTGAATTCAGCCAATTCAGCAGAATTTATGTATTATGATATATTTCAAGTACTTATATAGTGGTCAATTTATGAAGCGCTTTACATATATATCCTAGATTGTAAGCTCCAAGGAGCAGGGCCCTCTAATCCATCTTGCATTGAACTGTAACTGTATTGTCTCCCACTATAATGTAAAGCGCTGAGCAAACCGTTGGCGCTATATAAATCCTGTATAATAATATTGTACATTCACATCAGTCCCTAACCCTCAACAAGCAAACTCCAGGCAGGTGGTGCCATGGTTGGGATTCGAACCAATGACACTAGTACTGCCAACAGAAGTGCTAACCATTTAGCCACTGTGCTGCCCCAATTTCAGCCCTGGGTGGCCCTATTGGCACCATCTGACTCAACAAACTTTGATCTGAAAATTGAAAGAGCTGGGAGGATAATTCTTGTCAAAACATTGCCTGCAACCAATCAGATGCAATTGTTGTTCAGGACATCTACACTTTTTTAGCCTCGTGGGGCTGAACAAGAGAAACCCAAGAGTATATGACCAGATCTAGACGTATTTATCACCTCTCCCAGAGGTGATAAAATATTCCCATGGACAATGCCGTAATCAGCTGTCCTCTTCAAACGGGTGCCATTTTTGTTCAGGTATCCTCCAGGGTCAGTATGTATTTCTGGGACTAA